CTGAGCACTGGCAGAGAAGTTGCAGCTGGACAGGGAGCAGTTGTAGAACTGGGGCTTGTTGTCATTGACATCAGTCACCAAGACTGTCACCAGGGTGCTGGTCTGGGCCACCTTGCCGTGGATATCTGGGTGCTCCTCACGTGCCTGGGGAGGAGGAGAGAGCAGGTTGGAGGGGCCCAGGGGGAGGAAGAGGATGGGGTTCCCCTTGCTATCTCCTACTCACCGTGACTTGCAGCAGCACTTCGTCGCTTGGCAGCTGCTCACGGTCCAGGGGCTCACTCACAGTGATGGTGCCCGTTGTGTTATTGATAACAAAAGGAACACTGGCATCTAGGACAAGGGGACAGCAGGAACCAGTGGTAGCCACTGGGAAAGGCAGGCCTGGCCCTCTCTCTGCCATCATGTCAGGCTGGCAGAGCCTGGGTGCCCAGAACCAGTTTCCAGGGTACCCCTTGCTGCCTGACCACCCCTCCTGCTCATCCCACTGTGTCATCCCCTGCCTGACCCGTTCTGCCCCATCACTCACTGGTGATGATGTAGGAGATTTTATCATTCACCCCTGTGTCTTGGTCCATGGCGGTGACAGTCAGCACAGTGGTGCCCTGTGGGGACATGGCCATCAGGGAAGGACCTACGACATCTCCAGCTGCCCACAGGCCTGGTGGCCCAGCACTTCAGGGGCAGGGACAGGGACGGGGACATGACGCTGGGGCAGGCAGGCTCCTGACCAGGTCGCAGTTCTCAGGCACAGAGCCCGAGTAGGGCTCATTGAGGAACCGTGGGTCCAGGTTGGGCATGTCCTTAATGGTCAGGGACAGGTAAGTAAAGCTCTTCTGGACGGTCCAGTTGTTGTGCAGCCATCCCCCGCCATCCTGAGGAGCAGAGCACCTGTCAGACACACAGCCCCCTTCCCTGCACCCCCAACCTGGATGGTCCCCACCTGGGCGAGGATCTTGATCTGGTAGAAAGTGTTCTTGGCATAGTCCAGGGAACCATTGAGCACCACACTGCCATTGGTCAGGATGTAGAAGAGCTGGTGATTGTTCACGTTGTCTGGGATCACCTGAGCAGGGGACATCAGCCTGTGTCACCAAGGCAGGGAGCAGAGGTGTCCCAGCAGAGACAGGGGCTCTATCCCCCTCCTTCTGCCAGGCTTGATCCGTGGGGACCCCCAACTACCTGGTTCATCCCCAGCCTGAAACTGTGCAGCACCTTGCACCCATTGCCCCAAACCTCCCTGCACCCCCAGAGATATGGGTCTGCCCTGGCCGTGTCCCCCAGCACCTCAGCACCACAGGGGTGGCCCAGGGGTGGGGTTTGGGTGTGGTGACCCACTCCACAGTGCTCTGTGCTCACCTCCTCGATGCTGTAGCTGACTTTGGAGGCGTTCCCGGTGTCACTGTCGTTGGCAAACACGGTGTAGATGATGCTGTGCACACTTGTGTTCTGGCCACGCAGGGGTGGTGGAAGAGCAGGGGGTGACGCTGGGCCTGGACCCTGCCAGCCCTGCCCTGCAGCACTGCCCAGGGTCGTGGGGCACACAGGGACGAGCTGCTGCCCTTGCCCAGGCTGGGCAGAGGCTGGACCCCCTCGCTACCCTCCCTGGGGTCCCTTGGGAGCAGAGGCTGCACCTCAGCCCTGGGGTTGCTGGACGGGGGTCGGACTCAGCCCCACACCCCATCTACACCTTGATTCAGTGTCACCTTGTCCTGGGCTGACAGGTAGCTTGGGCACACCCTGAACTCATTGCAAGGGCAGAGTCCCAGTCACATTGCAGCGCCTCAGGGTGACACAGAGGCTCCCATCGGGAATTGCCCTGGTGACAGAGTGCTCCCAGGTGCTGGCTGCGCCCCACGCCCAGGCACGCTGTCACCACACACCCAGCTGCAGGGCCACGCTGTTCCCAGCCTGTTGTTGTGCCCCTGCTGGCACACCCACACCACAGGAGCCACCCAGCACCCCTGCCCTGCTGCCCGTGGGGGCTGGCAGGTCCCAGGAAGGTACCTCAGCGATGATGGCATTATATGGCAGGTATTGGAAGACTGGGGCGTTGTCATTGCGGTCATCCACGATGATGGTGATTTTTTTGGAGACCTACCAGGTGTCAGAGAGGGCACAAGGATGGGTGTGTGGGAGATGGTGGCCAGCAGAGCTGGATGCATTTCTGGCATCCCATGCCCACCATGGCTAGCCAGCCAGCATCACCCACCCATTTCCAGTTCTCTTCCCACTGAGCCTTGTCCATGGGGGCTCTCTTCCCCCTGCAGCCACCCAGCCCTTGCCCCAGCACTCACCTCGTTGTTTACACCATCTGACACTCCCACAGTGATGGTGAGCTTGGCCTGGAGCTGAGGGGACACAAGGCAGGACTTGGTCAGGGCCAATGTGAAGCTCAATCCTTGGATGGCTGAGCCCCACCCTCTGTGAGATCAATTCCCCTCCAGGGAGTGACCCACAGGCTCTGCCTTCCATCCCCATACCCCCAGACTCTCACTCAGACAGGGACACCTGACCCCATCCTCTGCCCTCACCTCACGGTCCAGGGATTTCCTCAGTGTCACTCTGCCTGTTTCGGAGTCAACAGCGAAGTAGAAGGCGTCTGTCCCTCCGATTTGGTAGGTGAGAGGGTCATTGTCAAGGTCATAAGCCTGCAGCTGGAAAGCAAACTGGCCTGGGGGCCCAGGCAGTGTCAGCCCCTGCCCAAGAACCTCCCAGTCACTCCTCTGACACCCCAGGCCCTTCTTAAGACCACCCTACTCACCCAGCTCCAGGTCCTCAGGCACATGGAAGATGGTCACGCTGATGATGGGGACTGTGTTTCCTGAAACTACAGGGGAGAGGAGCTGTTTTGGGGTTGCAGCTTCCCCCAGGGAATGGAGAAAGAGTATTGGGAGTTGAAAGCAGCTCCAACACCTCCCACTCGCCCATGCCAGACCACCAAGAGGAGTCCTTACCTGCTGCCAGGAGGAAGGGGAGCAGCACCAGGGAGCGCCATGCCATCCTGCCAGGATGCCTGTGGGCACACACCAGGGAACAAGCACCTGAGAGACTGAGGGCTGCCCCCAAACCCCTCCTGGGGAGCAGCCAGCAGGGCAGGAGAGGTGCTGGTGGGGACAGTCCCCTCTGCTGAGCCGGGCTGGTGAGCAAACACCAGGCTCCACACTGCACTCCGGGGCGTGGGCTCCCTGAGGACATGGCATGCGAGGACAGGGTTGGCCTCCGGGTAGAGGAGACTTTAGGTGTGCCTGGGGGACCCCAGGAGCCTGTCCTGGGCATGGCTGGAGGCTCCACTGCTTGTGCCCAACAGGGCCTCTCCAAGCAGTGCTTGGAGTAACCCATGGAAGGACCATGGTGTCTCCCTCCTTGTGCCGGGTCTGTGGGCAGCTCCACAGCTGGCAGACACCCCCACAGCTGGCAGACACCCCCACAGCTGGCAGACACCCACCCCCACCTCCCCTCCATGCAGCAAGGTGCCCGTGGGGCTGGGATAGGGGCTGACATCCCTTACCTGTGGCTGTGTCCCTGGGGATGCTGCCTCTGCACTCTCATCTTGACACTGCCAGACCTTTGCCTCCTGCAGTAAACATGTTCATCAATCATTAACTGCAATTAAGGGGTGAGAAATCCCTCTCCCGTCTTTCGTATTCCCTATTCTCATCCCACAGCTCCCACCCAGCTCAGCTCCAGGCTCACTCCCCAAAACCAAGTCCCCAGGTGTCCATACTGGGTGCTGTCCCTCAGGATTCAGCCACCCCAACCTGCATCCATGGGACCCCAGCTCCCAGAAGGGGTGTGGAGCCTGCAGGGGTGCACAGGGATCCCAAACCCCCCCAGGAGACCAAAGGGGAATTAGGGAAATGCCCTGCATCCCCTGGGCTGGGGACACTGGGGTCCTACCAGGACAGGGGGTGGGCACCAACCTTGTGGTGTGGCCACTGGGGTGGGTGCCTGGGGCCCTCTGCACCCCCTGCCACCCACTCCCCTCCCCAGGAGCTTGGCCCAGCCTCCCTGACCTACTTCAGACCCTCTAGGGACAAGGGTGGATTGTCCAGCTCTGCTCAGGCAGAAAAGGGCTGGGAGGTGGTGGTGGGGGGGCATGGCCAGCCTGTTGGACCCCCGCATCCGTGGCCTTGTTCCCTGGGGAACACACAGGGCCTGGATACTGGAGAAACTCTGGAGTCTTCCCAGACACTCAGCCTGCTCTGAGGTTCCCATCTCACCCTACACCCAGAGAACCCCCAGAGAAGGGGCTACAGGGCACAGACTGTGACCACCCCTTAGCGAACCTCTCCTGAGCTGGTCCAGGACCACCACCCCAACTCCTGCAAAGGCTGCTCCAGGACATCCTCAGACACCCCGTGAGCTGCCTGGGGTTACCCCCAGAGTCCCTTAGGGATATCTCGGGGTGCCTCCCCCGAGACTCCTGGGGCTGGTGCTGGACACTGCTCTGCAAACTGCTCCTTGCTGTCCTGGGGCACTTCCACACCTGCCAGGGCTGTCCTGAAAGGAGGTTGTAGCCTGGTGGGAGTCGACCTCTTCCCCCTAGCAACTGGTGAAGGTTTAGGTTAGACATCAGGAAGAATTTCTTCACGGAAAGGTGTGCCAGGCATTGGAATGGGCTGCCCAGGGAGGTGGTGGAGTCACCGTCCCTGGAGATGTTTAAGCAAAGACTGGATGTGGCACTTAGTGGTCTAGTTGACATGGTGGTGTTGGGTCCTAGTTTGGGCTGCATGACCTCAGAGATCTTTTCCAGCCCGGCTGAGTCCGTGATTCTCTAATTCCCGTGACCGTCCCCAGCTCAGTCCCGGCGGCATCGGTGCGCTGCCACTCGGGGCATTACGGCCGAGGAGCTCCGCCGCGCATTTCAGCGGCGCCGCTCTTGGGCTCATTACGGCAGGAGGCGGCGGGCGCGCCCATCGGCGGCGCGGGGGGGGAGGCGGTGCTGCGCGGGGAGGGGGGGCAGCGCGGCGCGGCCGGTTCCATCGGCGCGGCGGGCGCGGGGGCGCCATGAGGCGGGGCTGAGGCCGGAGCGGGAGCGGCACCGGGACCGGCACCGGCACCGGGACGGACACGGAGCCCGGCGGGCCCGGCCGCCGCGCCATGCGAGCGGGCTGAGGGGCGGGCAGCGCCGGGGCACGGCACCGAGCGCCGCGGGCGCGCCTCCCGAAGGTACGGGGCGAGGCGGCGGCCGCAGGCCCGGGCCGTGCGGGGCAGGGCCGGGGCACCGGGGGCAGGCGGCGGGCAGGGCCCGGGGCTGGGGGGAGGCGGAGGGAAGGGGTCGGGCAGCCTCGGGGCAGCGGCACGGGGAGGGCGGTGGGCTGGGCGCCGGGCGATGGGGCGGATGCGGGGCTGCGGGCCCGCTGCGGCGGGCGGAGGAGCGAGCGCGGCCCGGTGCGGCGGGGCCGGGCCCGGTGCGCGGAGCGGGCGGATGGCCGGCGCGGGCGGGGGTGGCGGCTGCCGGGGCATCGGGGCTCGGGGAAGCGGCCGCAAAGCGCAGCCAGGCCCGGTGCAGCCGCAGGGCGGTGGGAGGAGCCCCCGCTGCTGGGGAGCCCCGCGGGGACCGGGGGCAGCGGGGACGGGGCCGGAGCGCTGCTGCCCGTGGCGGCTGTCTGAGCCTGCCCGGCCGGAGCCCCTTCTCGGGGTCTCCCGCACCCGGGCCGGGCGGGAGTCAGGGGCTTCTGCTGAGGCTGGTTGTCTGGCTTCGGTTACGGGCTTCTAACTGGCTGTGTCCTCGTCCCGCTTGGCACCTCGCGGTGTCCCGTTCGCCGTTACCCCGGACCCGGTAAACTGTCAGCTCGGGGCAGGCTCCGGTGTGGGACAGGGGACGGGAGGGGAAGTGGTGAAACTCTTCGGAAAGTTGTCCCTGGAGAGGAGGTAGGAAACAAATGAGCCCGAGGTGACGGGGTGGGGGTAGTGGCACCGGGGGAGGTGGCGGTGGCACAAGCCGTGCCGCCGGCCCGGCAGGATCTGTGCTGGCAGCGTGGGCTGTGTGTGGGCCCGTGGCAGCCCTGTCCCACGGAGGACGTGTGGGACCACGTTGTGGGCAGCTGGTATCCACTCCAGGGTTTGCTCTGCCGGGTAGGAGTTGAGCTCTGTGGCTAGGCAGGTGCTGTTCCTCCGTCTGGGGACAGCCCCTCTTGCCAGGAGCGTGGCTCTGTTTTGTGCTGGTACCTTGTCCACCAGCTCTGCACCGGCCCCGTGCTCCAGCACAACCGGCTGTGTATGCCTGCAGCTCCAGACATCATCCCTGCCTTGCCTTCTCTCTGTCCTGTGCCAGTGCCTTGCTCTGTCCCTCTATCACCTGCACCCATGTCGGCTCTGATGCCCCAGGACCTCGAGGCCGTCCTCGAGGTGGGGTGTTGTGCCCCGGGGGGATGCGCAGGGCCGAGCCCGTGGGGCAGGTGGGTCCCGGGGCCAGCAGGAGCCCCGGAGGAGGAGCAGCTGTCGGAGGAGAGCCGCTGCGTCTGATGTCACTGCGGTGCATGGTGGGTAATTATGCACGTTGCAATGAAAATAATAAGGCCGGCTCCATAGTGGTGTCTAAAAATACTGCTAATGCGGAGTGCCTGCTGGGCGCCTTTGTTTGTCACCTTTGGGTGTCTGCTCTGGGGCTGGCCAGGTGGTGTCACGCCCCTCGAGCAGTGGGTTACGTTTAGCAGGTGAAATGTGGCCCCTCCATTCCCCCCCGCATTGGGACACGGTGCCAGTGGAGACAGGGCAGGTGTTGGCATGGGAGGTGAGGCAGGAGGCACCTGTGTGTGTTTTGGAGGCTCCAGTGCCGCCTCCCTGCATGCAGCCATGCAAGGAGTCTCAGTGGGATGGCAAGGCTTTGTTCCCCTAGCCTTGCTTGGAGCTAGGCACTCTCCAAGTGGTGGACAAAAATCTGTCCTGATATCCCCTGGCAAGTTCCAGCTGGTTCAAGCAGAGAACAAGATTTGGGCCCTGATGGTCTGGTCTGTCCATCGCTGGCATTGTGTGGCCAGGGCAGAGCTCACTGGAGCTGCGAGATCTTCCCTCTGTGGCTGCCACCATGGTGTGTCCTGGTCCTGATGGGACTCAGACTATGGCAACTTGCTGTGCTCTGGCTGTGCAAAGGTGGGAGGGAGAAGGGATATGTCCCTGGAAGAGAGGGAAATTATGTGATAGGTGCTGGGGGGCACCTGGGTGCTGGCCAAGGGCTGCCCAGCACTCTGATGTCCACTCCGTGGGTTCTGCCCAGATGCTCTCGGTGCAGCTCTGGCTGCTGCTGTGGTCCCTCCGTCTGCTGCCAGGCGCTGGAAGCTCCTGCTGCTGTGGAGGAAGAGGCTTGCAGGGGTGGCGAGAGCCATCTGGCTGGCAGGCTGGCAGGGGGAAGGTGTTGTGTGGCAGGGCAGCAGCAGAGGGCTGGGGCTGGGAAGGGCAGGAAACACTGAGCCCGTGTGCCTGGGTCTCAGTGACGAGTCTCTTCCGCTTTGTGTGCAGGGAGGTCAGAGAGGTGGCGGCTGCTCTTGGTTCCCAGCTGGTGCTTGTGGTGGGCTCTGACTCCGGCTGACAGCTGTGGGAGCTGAGCCTTGGCCCTCTTCACTGTGGAGCAAACAGGGAGATGTCACCCTGCTGGCTTGCTGGGCTGCTTCGCCTTTAGGGTCGTGGCTGTGTTCTTGGGGCCCTTCGCTGGAGAGGGAGTGTCGCTGCTGCCTCTGTTCTTGCCAGGTGCTCACTCTGACCTCTGGAGGCACACATAGCAGTGATGTTCCCCTGAGCAGTGAAACACACTGTCCCTACCTGCTGGGCTGTGTGGCTCCCTTTGGTGAGTGAGGAACAAGGAATGGGGTGGGAGACTTTGCAAATCCCATTGATCCCCACCATGGAAGCTGCATGTTTGCATCTGCCTGTCCAGGACCAGGGCCCTGTGAGGGGAATTGATCAAGCTGTAAAACCTAGAGCCAACTAATGAAATAGGGACTATAGATTTTTATTTTAAATGGAAGAGAGTTTAGGAGAGATTTAATTATCCTTGGTTTATGGACCTGTTAGAGGAATGAAATAACAGCTGGCAGGTAAGGGCTGGGTTTCAGCTCACAGCACTTTTCTCCCAGGTTGTCTGCAGAACTGCCCAAGTCCTGCCACCCACGGTGGAGTGGGGAATGATGTAAAGTCACTCAGAGCAGAGTTAGATGGGGTGAAGTCCTGCTTATCCTGCTGGGTGTCTCTGCTTCCTGCTGGGAGTACGTGTGCTGAAGTAGCAGAGGGGCTGGCCCTGGGCAATTGGGGCTGGTGTAAGAACAGCCCTCCCTGGTTCCTGGGGCTTGGTGTGGGCCAGTCCTTGTGCTAGTTGCCAGCAGAGAGTTCAGGAGCCCCGTACTCACTGGGCTGTGTCCCTCTCGGTGTCATTTTCCTGGGGCTGTGGGCACTGAGCTCTCACTGACGCTCACGTACCTGCGCAGTGTGTGGAGTTTGTAAAGGAGAGCTGCAGAGCGCTGGGATTTGCTGGGCTCAGCTGTGTGTTGGACACAAGCTGTAACGCTGTCACTACAGCCACTCCTCCTGTGTGCATCCACTCCACTGTCATGTGAGGCTGGCCACGGGCACGGCTCGGGAGGTGCTGGTGGCAGAAAAGCCTGGCTTCTGGATGCTTTTTGGGGTTTTCTCCTCTTTATTGAGGAGCTGGGGCGCAACATTTTCCCTGCTTTGACCAGTCTGGAGAAACATGGTTTATCACCTGCTGTATGTGGGTAATTAGTTGGCCAAAGGGTTGTGTACCCACCTTGCAGGCACAGCCTGTAGGGTGCCAGTCTGATGTGTCCAGAGGCTGCTAAAACATCCAAGGAAGCTGCTGGTGCTGGGGAGCTCTCCCAGAGCCCTCTGACATTGATGCAGGAACTTGGGAGAGCCAAGCCTTGAGCTCCATGAGGATGTTGTGTGGCTCCCTGAGACAGGTCAGTTGCAGAGGGGAGCGGTGTGGATCTGTGCTGTCGGCTCACAAAGGTGTTGGGAGAAGCCAGCCTTGGCTGGCTGCTGACTGAGAGCCTGCTGACTCTCTGGGCAGCAGAGCTGCACTATGCTGCTTATCCTTTCATCCTTGCACCTGCAAATCCTCAGTGTTTCAGGGCAGGAGCTGTTTCCTGGAGGGCACAAGCAGACCATGGGTCCCATGTCCAGAGTGGCATATCTGGGTTTTATGGAGTGGGGTGGTTTGGGAGGGCTCCATAATTTGTGCATGGCAGAGGATGAGGCTGAGCAGTGTCTCCAACAAGCAGTGCTTGTTGCAGGCCTTGGGAATATTATTTTCCAGCTGCAGACTGGTCCCTGGAGACCTGCTCTCACTGGCTTCAGAGCTGTAGTTCTGGGTCTTCCTTGGCTACCCTGGAAAGCAGGATGAAGGTTTTTAGTTCAGCCATGCAGAGCAGAGGACTGGCCTGCAGCATGCTAGGAGCTGCTTTCTCTCAGGTGATCCTGTATCTTGGTGATCCAGGCCTCTGGCATCTCTCGCTGTTGCCCCTGGGAAGGGAGGGCCCGTGTTCTGGTCCTCCTTCCCCCAAGCCTGGCGATGCTGAGGCACGGTCCCCTCCGGCAGGTTGTCTTTTCCCTGCTGTGCTGGTGGGGCTCCTAACTGCGTTTGCATTTTGAGTGTCTTAGTTGGTTTTCTCTCCATGCTTGTGCTTTGGGAAAGTGGTGAACAATAAAAATCTGCCATTGAGAGCTGTAGCAGAGGTCAGGCAGCTCCTGTGCCCCAGGCTGCTCTCTTGTCACCACAGTTGTGCTTTGTGCATGGGGGCTGTCAGCTTGAAAGTCATGTTTTTGCTCTTAAAACCAACCTCAGGCACTGGTATGGGGTTCTCTGAGTGATGTATGGGAACATATTGCAGCAAGCCTCCTTTTCACTTTAGGGTAGTGGTCACTTCCTGTTTTGGTGCATCTTGTAAGCAGCCTCTTGGCAAATTTTTAATCAAGGACAAAGGAGGGGTAAACGGTTGCTGAAAATCATGAGTTTCTCTGAGCTACTTTCTGAAAATGATTGTTGCAGGTTGTTGGTGTCCCTGCAGGCTTCTTAAAATGCAAAACAAACCACCCAGCCCAACTTCCTGACTGTCACTAGTGCTTTCAAGAGACGCTTCGTTTTGCTGAGTGGTAACAAAACTGCTCTTTGCCATCCACCAGCTCCTGGCTCTGCCTGTATCCCTTCGCAGGAG